GGATTTTGCCAATTAAAACAGACTGACTTCATATTTACTTGCTGTCACTTTTGTATTAAAAATCCAGATAAGATAGTAAGATAGATTGAGATAGATAGATAGAATAGAAGATAGATAGATAGGTATGATAGATAGATAGATGAAGATAGATAGAATAGAAGATAGATAGATAGATGGATACTTTAATTTATCCCCGAGGGATAATCTCAAGCATCCCTCAGTAGCATAACAAACTACAAACAATACATTAAACTACATTAAAATAAATTAAAAACCCTGACTTAAGAAACAGAATCCAAAAATAGAGATATAAGATAAGATATAAAGTATTATGTATGTATATAATATATAAAATTAACAGTATAAAATAAAATTAACAGTAGCTACAGTACACATTGCAAACAGTAAATCAGGAGCTTTTTCAAGACGAACTAACCCAAAACACTGGATCTTATCATCATGTATAACTCCTCAATTATACCTTAATTACCTAAATGAAACCATAGCAACGTCGGGGCAGTGACACATTTTATCTTCACACACAGCGCCATCTAGTGGTCGCTTCATGTAACGACTCTGAGGACAGCGGCTCTACTCTCGCGATACTTCAGGAGGATATCTCGTGTCTCCGCCGTCCCTGTGGCTCTTTGCAGAAGGGCACGAAGAGGCCGAAACAAGGGTGCCCGCTGTAAGCAACGAACTCAGCACTTCATCCTTCAAACATGCTGTCCAGACTCGTCATTGTCTCAGGTACGCACCAGTGTTGTTGTTTAAGACGATTAATACAAACTCGCTCTGTTGCATAGTCAAAGTGTGAGAGAGCAGAAACAGAAAGAGTTGAATGTGAAGCTGAAGGGTAAAGTGAAGGCCGCACGTTCAATGGGACGTGCTAATGCTAACAGGAGGTGGCTAGTGTAACTAATAGACGCTGAAACTGTAGCTGGTTCATTGGGTTATATGTGTGTCCACGGTTATTGATAATGTGAATACGTGTGTGGTCCTTTCTGTGTTTCCAGCAGAGACCACAACAGTTTGTTGCAGCTAACGGGAGCTAACCAAAGCTACGTTAGCTCTCGTTAGCTCCACACGACTGCAAATGTCACCTTTTTGACAGCTGGCATTGGTCGGTTTTATCTTCTTTACGTCTCTATTGAGGACAAACTTCACTGGATTCACAATGCAAGTCCACCAAATGTGTGTTTCCACTTCAATGCTTTCACAAGTTTCTCATTTAAAGCCTCTAAATGCTGCTGGACGTTCAGTCGATGTGCTGTTACTGAAGTGGCCTCATCCTTTAACAGGGTTTTGATGACCTTTAGTAATTATTTAGTAAACTTACACACACTTCATTGCCAGTGTGTGAGTTACACCAATACTACAGTCTCCAGAAAGGTTATAATGGTCTGCGTTTGTTCATGCTGTTTTTAAAGACGTGCTGATTATCATAAGTAACAGAATACACTTGAATGAATGAAAACAAGCTTTAAGTGCAGCCCTGAATTCATGTCATTGTTTGTTCTGTTTGCAGCCAGCGCCCTGAAAGGCAGTGGCCCCCTTGGAGCTGGGTATGTGTCTTTTAGCAGTTGTTTTATTTTTATTTATTTGTTAGTAACACAGTGATGCATTGTAGCAATAAGGAATATAAATCCTATGAGGGCTGTCCCTGTCAGAGCTTTTAATAATGTTGTCTCCCACAGTCTGGTCCAGGCGTCTCGCTCCCTGCACACAACGTCCCAGAGTCTGGCCCCAGTGCCCCCTCTGCCAGAGAAGGGAGGCAAAGTCCGTCATGGACTCTTCCCAGAGGAGCTTTTCCAGCTCCTGTACCCCAAAACTGGAGTCACAGGTCAGTAACCAGAATGCAGACTCAACTTTTGGTTATTTAAGTTGTCATGAAAAGATCTTAAGTGCACCGCTGATCATTTGAGTATCTCTGTATCCCTTCACGCAAGTGAAATAATGAATTCCAATTTTAATTGCTACCCTAAAAATGGTACCATTCGTTCTCTTTAGCTCAAGATATTATCTGAGTAGACCTTTGAAAAACCAAACAATTCAAAGTGCTTTACGTGAATCAGACTAAGAGATGATATAAAATAAAGACTAACAGATTAACAGGAGAATATAATATATAGTGCAATGTAATTCATTTGATAAAACAGTGGCAAATAAAAGTCCTAATTTCAAATTTAAACATTAAAAAATGAATGCAACTTGACCCCATGCTACATATGTTGACTGTGTCTCTCTGAAAAACGTTACCCGTACCTTAGGTGTCATTGTTGATGTTTTTTCACTTAATTTCATGTGTTATATATTCTTAAATTAGCTGGTGTACGAACATCGCTTCATTGACGATTTTAAAGATTAGTAAATTTTTCTTTTTCTCACTAGGACCCTACATGCTGGGCACTGGCCTCCTTGTCTACCTGCTTTCCAAGGAACTCTACGTCATCAACCATGAGACCTTTGCTGCCGCTTCAATAGGCACCATCATCGTCGTGGGTGTCAAGAAATTTGGTCCAAGTGTTGCAGCTTTTGCTGACAAACTGAACGAGGTAAGCTGGCAACCATATTGATTTGTGTTTTTATCTTTTTTTTTCTGGCTAATAATAAGGTAGTTTGAGATTGGAGTGTGTGGATGCTTATTCCTCTTGTGGTGGCTAAAGTAATCGACAAATGATTTGTGATATCTTTGATCAGTCAAATATAATTGGTCGTCTTTTTGTGCACAACCTCTGTGAGCACCTCTGTGATACTGCTGTGTGTGTTTGCAGGAAAAAATGGCCAAGGCTCAGGAGGTGAAGGACCAGGCCGTATCAGTGTTGACTCAGGCTATTGAGGACGAGAAGAAGGAACAGTGGAGAGTAGAGGGAAGATCAATGCTCTTCGACGCTAAGAGGGTAAGCACCATTTTTATTCTCAATTATTGTCACTGTTCACAACGTACTGCTTCATATTTACACAACAGGCCATATTGACGGCTGGTAGTTGCCCAACATGAGTTTAAGAGGCATCATTTTGTAAACTTTGACATTTATTGACCTCTACTGGCAACACGTACAAACTGCGACAACGTCACAGAGTAGCCGAAGAAACTTTCCATCCCATGAATGTGTGGAGCTGTAAGAGCTGATCTATACAACGCACCAGTCAGCTGAACTGCAGTGATACATTTACTTCCACTGTTCAGATATTTGCAGTCTGTTAAAAGTACATATATCCCTGGCTGCATATATTGTCATATTCTAGACAGAACAAGTATATAAGAGGGAATTTAACCTGCTTACTGCCAACAGCTAGAGCAGTGTAGACCAGATATTTCTACAGTGGTTTCATGGACTCTTCTTTCTCTCTCAGAACAATGTGGCCATGCTGCTGGAGACCAACTACAGAGAGAGGCTACACATGGTGAACACTGAGGTGAAGAGGCGCTTGGACTACCAGATCGCCCTGCAGAACCTCCACCGCCGGATGGAGCAGGAGCACTTGGTCAGCTGGGTGGAGAAGAGTGTCGTCAGCAGCATCACTCCTCAGCAGGTCAGTTTCTTGCAAGCACGACCTCTCAGTAACGCCTCGAGAGAGTTACTTCAGATTTGCACGAATGTCAGCTTGAACTCAAGATTGAACTGATGTAGATTTTGGTGGTCAAAGGTCACTGTGACCTCAAAACACCATATTTAAAAAAAAAAAAATGGTTGGCTGGTGAATTGGTGACACTTTTGACTCAAAGGTCAAAGGTCACTGTGACCTCAAAATGACCATGACAAACATGTTTTTGTTCATAACTCAAGAATCCATTCAGTCATTATTTCACACAGATGTTTTAATGGGTTTCAATAATGAAGTGATGACCCTTTTTATCCCAGAGGTCAAAGGTCAACTTCACTGTGACACCGTAATGTCCTTGAGATTGTGACCATATTTCCCAGTTGGTCGAACTCTGAATCAGTGACACTTTTGAGTCAAAGGTCATTGTGACCTTTTAGCCGTACTTTAAGAATTAATTGGGTGATTTCACACATACACACACACGTTGACTGGGACGACACATTGAGTAAACAATAACAAGCACAGTACAGGATTTAAACATTAAGGCTACAAATAACCCATAATGCAACACGTTTTTGTAGGAGCCGGTGTTTCGCCAATATTCTCTCCATTCAAAATAAATCTGACGTTATGAGCATGTAATAGGTGTTAAATGTGAACGATGTCAGACGTTTAGTCCTCCAATATCAGACGATCCCATATTTCAAATATTATCTCCATAAAAATATATTGATGTTATATTTATCTTTATTGTGAGAAAGTTATTGGGCTTTCCTTCCCGACCTTCAGGCCCTTGCTGCTGTATTGTCTTGTACACACCTCAACGAGGCGACACTTCAGGGCTTCATATCTGTGTTTTTGTGTGTTTTTCAGGAGAAAGAGAGCATCGCCAAGTGCATCACAGACCTGAAGGTCCTGGCGAAGGCCAGCCAGGCTCAAGCTAGAGCCTAAACTGTCGAGTCTTCAGAGAAGACTTCTCTAACCCCCAACTCATTGTCCCAAGACGAGACATTCACTTTTTCTTTACAGAATAAACAATTTCCTCTTTAAAGATGGTCTCTGTCAATATTATGGGTGTGTACAGTATTTACACGTCGGATGGTAAAATAAATGGTTCTCTTATTCATCTTAAACTGGCTACTTGTGTTTTTCCACCTCAAGCAATGTTTGTTTATTTCTCTCTTTGTGTATTTCCTCAATGATGTTAGGTGTATTTGGAACGTACTTACCGTCAGTTTTATAGCTGCAATAGATTACGCTTAAACTTGGTAATTGCATAAGAGCATTTTCTGGGGCACTTAAGACCTTTGATCTCTGAAGGAGATACTGTGAAGCATTTCTAAACCTTTGCCCTCATAATGGGCCACAGATTTGCTGCCTTCCTTCCATCATACCTCAAATAGCCTCAGATGACAAAGCGGTCCAACCCTCCTCATCCGTCATTACCGTCCTCGCACTTTGATCCTGGTGCCTTCAAGCAGGAAGTCAAAGAAATTTTCTCTGTAAGCTGTGAGAGGAACAGGTGCTATTTGCTGTGAGCGGTCTTGGTAGAAGGGAACAATGACACCGGAGCAGAGCTGACGCTGACTGGTAATAACTGAATGAATTATGTAAATGTGATTAAGAGTAAACTCATTTGACGTCCTACATTTAATCCAGAAACTGTGACAGTTGATTTGTGTATTTATGATGTGTTACATGTTGCTGAATTGCCGAAGTGTTTGTTGAATTTGTGTCTTTAACGTCTTAATACATCAAACTGAATCTTGTATCAGCCTAAATGGTAGATCAGCGTAAAGTCTTCATTACACAGATTAATAATTATGGAAACTTGGTTAATCTTAACTGGGTTTATAACAGGTTGTGTAACTGACAGCACATTTCCCTTTTACTGCTTTATTATTGCATCATTTTCATTTCAATTTTAATTTTAAAGAAAAACTAACTTTGGCCACTGAGGCCCCAAGTGACACAGGGCAATAACATATACTATAACATTTCAAACAATCTGTGTTAAGTTTTCTAACAACCACCCTTACATAGCCAACCAGATTGTAGCAGTAAAACCGTTGAGTGTGTTAAACTGTGTGTTGAACTGGGATACGGTGTATTTTATTGCTTTGGAATTCAACATTTCATTTGTAAAAAGCAGAATATGTTATTTCAAAAGCTACAGTCTCACTTTAAGCTGTAAACATACCAACTAGGTAAACAAATCCTTTGTACCTTCATGTGAAGAGTGTCTCTACGCAACCACCTATCCTGGTTTAATATGAAACTGTAATTTGGGCTGCGGCTGTTGTCATTTGTCAGCATGAGAAATATCTTTTCTTACAGGTTAGTGATTCTTGCCAATCTGAAGTTTTAACTCCAAAACAGCCCAACGTTGTAGTTTGAAAATGTATGGAAACAGCGGACCTTTCTCTTACTCCCCAAGGTCAGTAAAAGTTTAATTTCACTTTCAGGTTCACCGATCACTGGTATTAATTCGATTAAGCTTTTGAGCACTAACTTTTAGAACTTTACAACGCTCTTCCCACCATGATAAAACACTGCTGTGTTGTGGTAACTGTGCAGCTGTTGTGAACTGTGGATGGCTTATCTTTTAGTCACTGGTGACGATCAGGTTGTAAGGCTGGCCACAGCCCTATGATTGTGCCCCCACTCCTGTCTGATAAGTTACCTTTTATTATGCTTCAGGGGTTTCTCGAAGGAGGACCTCCCTCAGCCGAGATGGGCTGTCCAACAAGATGACCTCAGGGGGTCTCCACTGCAGAGAAACAACATGTCCAGACCTAGTGGAAAGTCAATATACAGTATGTTCACTTATTAAAACTCATCTAATTTAACTTTGGTGAGACATTTCTTTTAACATGAATGTTCTTTCCACCAGTGCAGAGAAAGGAGTACTCTGAGACGCTGAACAGACAATCTGACAACTTTCACGTCAGAGTGGAGGTAAATAAGTATGAAATCTGCCCCAGCTACTGACAGTACAACCTTTTCAGCTCTCCTCATCCATGATCCTGTACATTGACTCCACAGCACCTGTTCACCTGTGAGCTGGACGGCCAGGAGCTGAAGACAGTGGACAGCTGCGTGGCTAAACTCAAGAGGCTGGATGCCAAAGGTCGTCTGTGGTCGCAGGAGATGATCATGGAGGTTCAGGGAGGACATCTCCTGCTCAGTGACATTGAGACGAAGGTCGGTACTAAACAAGTACAGCACATGGCCAAAAGTATGTGGACAGCATAGCATTCCTCACAGGCAATATGCTGCTGTAACAGCCTCCACTCTAATGGGGAGACGTGACTCTTATTTTGGGACCTGACTGCAGAGATTTGCTCCCATTCAGCCACCAGAGTGTTAGAGAGGTCAGGGCAGTGATTTCGGGTGATAAGGCTCAGGGTTTATGTTCAAATTCACCCCAAATGTGTTGGATGAACCTGGCTTTATGCACAGGATTGTCTCGTTGTGACAGGAAACTGTTGCCAAAGAGTTGGAAGCAGACTATAGACTAAAACATAATTAAACTGGGGCGAGCCAAAATCAAGAAAAGTAGCTTTAAACCAAAATTACACAAAAGGATGAAATGTGAATGAAGCATTAAGCAAAATGACACAACCAAAACTGTTTTAACTACAATTTAACATAGCTGTTTATTATCTTGCAAAGTCTTAAAGGAATGTTCTGATGGTTTATTTGCAAAATGCTTACAAAAATAAAGTTAGATTTAGTATGTAGATACAGGGACAAATATAAAAAAAAAACATCTCTCATGAGTTTAAGTGCTACAGTTGATAAAAGAAGCTGATAAAAACTAAGATTTACTTAATTTTAAGCAGGTTAGTCACAGGCCAGAAATCAAACACCTATTATACTCTAATGTTAAAATGAGACATTGTAACAACAAGTTCCCTTAATTGACTGACTTCCTGTGCATAGTGTCACTCTTCCAGCTATGCTCAGATTGTTAAAAATAATTACGAATTCTACATTATTAAATAGCATATTTTACCTCACAGTAAATAAAACACAGATTTTATATTATAATTATTTTAATTATTATGTAATTATTATTTAAAAAATTCCATTATTAACATCTGGTGGTATTTTTGCATTTACTTTCCATGTTTCAATTAGTATGAAGTGAATCTAAAAGTATTTGTTTTTGGTTAATTGACAACATTCAAATAAAAATACAACATATCAGATCTTGTTAGGGAAAGAACGATAAAGTCCTGCACTTATTTCTATCATTATCCTGATGTACACTCAGTCAGATAAGTGAAGACAGAGACAGGCATCCAGTGTCTGACATTGAGAAATAATAGATAATAAGAATGAGAACTAGAAAAAAGAAAAAAGAATCAGAAGAACAATGGACACAACCTTGTCAGAAAGCAGTGTGTAAATACTGACCAATATTGAAAGTTAACTGTATTCTCTCTCATAAACCTGTCCTGTTCAATCTGACTCTAAAGGCAGAGCTGGAGTTGCTACCATTGGCTTGCATCCTGACAACCAAAGCTGTGCTGGATAGCTGCGCCTACAACTCTCTTCTGACAGTAACAGTGCAGGAACGCAACAAACACAATCCCCAAGTCTTCATGTTCCAGTGTGAGGAGACAGGGGTGAGTCACATTCAACCAGACCTTTGACCTGCTGAAAGCCTCCAGAGGAGGGAGGACGTGTTAGTCAGACATCAAGGCTGTTCTCTGAGACCATTATCTCTATTTCATAACATTCCTGGTGTCGTGTAGGAGTTGGATTTTAAAGCGGGTCTGTTTTTCCAGGCGGAGCTCATCAAGAGTGACCTGGATAAGGCCGTCCAAAAAGGAGGCGCTGTTGTGGAACCACGGAGAGAGCCGACTGACATCAGGTACACATGAGCACAGTTTAAACCAGGGCTGGTCGAAGTTGGCCTGCCATTAGGTTTGATTTGGCCTTCCAACGAAAACATAACAATATATATATATATATTTAAATATATCAGCTCTTTTTTCTTAATGTTTTTTCATTATCTGAGCATGTTGGGCAGGGGGTAACTATGCGCAGGAAGTCAGTCAAGTGAACTTGGGATCCCTGCATCTTAAAAACACAATACAATACAATACATTACAATAGGTGTTTGCTTTTGGTTCGCAGCCCACCATGAAGTTTCAGTTTTGGCCCTCCAAGGGGAAAGTTTAGACACTCCTGGTCTTAAAAGAGACTAAATCACATTAAGAGAAAGCACAGTTAGGACAAATAAAGAAATTGGAACAGTAAAATAGGCTGACTGCTGCCCGTCCTTAATGTTCCCAGGAGTAATCTTGAAAATATCATCGGGCAACAAGCTCTGGGAAGTTTCCGGCAGCCTGGATTTCATCCTGTGCAGCGAGAGAGGACCCCACCGCCACCAGAACATCCGCTCCAACAGTGGAGAGAACCAGGTACAGCTTGATCTGATCTACTTTAAGCATATGAAAGAAATCTTTAATGGTGAACAATTGTGCTTTTGTACAACTGACATTTTTTAAGACAGGTTCAGCCATAAACTCCATACACCAGTTTTATACTGTATAAATATTCTCCTGAAATGAAGTTATATTGATATTTGTCTCCAAACAATTCATTTTGTTGCTGTATAGAGAATTTCGCCCCTACACGCTACACCCCACAAGAACCAGTGATGCATCTTCCCGACGTTCGTGAATTACAGATCAGCCCAGAGGTCCCTATGTCACCTGTGCCAGCAGACACAGAGAGGAACACGGTCAGTACTGCAGTCTAACCGTTTACAGAAGTTATAGGTAGATCATCTTTCTCATGTCAAGGAAAACATGCTCGTAGATAAAAAGCTCCTACAGGCCACAGAATGTCTAATCTATGCTTTGTTTCATGCTTGTGTTCTCAGGACATTTTTAATCATGTTCTAAATGATTTGGAGATCTTTATGGGCAAAATGTCAACTGCAATGAATGCACCTTCACTGAAAGGAGACCAGAGGAAAAAGAAAAATGCATCTAAGAAGAAAAAGTCAAAGGAAAATGGTAGTAATCTTCTTTCACTTTATCTTTTCACAGACACATGTGATAAAGGAAGTAATTACTAGAGGAGAGACCTCCTATAGGGGCAGATACACTCATAGCACAGATGTTTGTGTCTGATAAGTGTTTTCTCTTGCAGCCCCAGCCATCAGTCTGCCACCATGGGAGGAATATGTATCCTGTCTTCAGAAAATCAAATATGGATTCAATCTGCTGGTGAATACTTATTTCACATCTTTAAATGTCTCCACAGGAAACAGGTTGACCAGAGTGGTTTGGGTGAACGCTCAAATGCAGTGGTTCCCAACCTGGGGGTCACCAAAGCTTCACAAGGGGGACGCGGGGCCTTCTTGATTTTAATAAATACACAGAGTAGAGCTATATCTATAAATGCAATTGTTATTTTTAAAGTTTAGATTATTATTTTATTATTTAAGATCTAAAGTGTCAGGGAGAACAAAACACTGAATTTGTCTGAAAAAAAGAAGCCTATTAAATATATATGATTGTTAGAAAATAACACAATTCAGGCAGATAATGGTATAGAAAAGTTTCTTCTAGTTTATGAATCTCTGATTAATTTTAACAGGAAATAATCTGCTCAAAATGAATCCAAATTGCTCGTTTTACACAACCCTCTTGCAGTTATTGTGTTCATTGTACAGTTCATCAGTTGTTCTGTGCCATTACACACCATTACACACTGAGTATAATATTAAATATCCATAAAATATGTCACTTAGTCAGAGGCCGTCACTTTCTTCAGTGATAGAAAAGTGGTTGGGAACCACTGCTCTAATGTGTTGAGTGGACCGTATGATTGCAGCAGGAAGCAGTGAGGTGTGACTGACAGACTCTTTATATTTCAGGGCCAGCTGGACGGGTCACTGAACGGCCCCACTGCTCCTGACTTTGTCCACATCTTCTTCGGTAATTTGGCCATGGTGAGCTCTTCTAAACTCATTTTGTCTCATATTTTTCTACACTTAAATGTGAACAGTTGATACTTACTTCCCCCATTTTCCCACAGATTGTGCCTCAGTATCCTGCAGACCTCCCTCCCACTGTCATCTCCCCCCTGCTGACAGTGGCGGCCCTGCGGCTGCTCAGTCAGGTTGTCGACCCGGAGGAGGACAACCTGTGGAGGTCTCTGGGAGACAGCTGGAACCTCCCCAGGTAATGCAACGTTTATCACCTTCACACAATTCTTGTTACGTCTCATATATAGCCCTCTGATTGTAAGTGCACTTATACCTGCCCTGGCACGCCCTAACTTGGGGAATAGTGTGTGTGTGTGTGTGTTTGCTGATATGTAAATGTAGGTCAGAGGTAATTTATGTGCAATAGAAGAAATGATAAACAGGAGTGTGTTTATTTGGAACTACTGCTAATTTCAGTTTTAAGATGTTAAACTCCACTTGAGAATTACTGTGAAGGATGTATAATAATTTAATGGATTCATTAATAATTTACTGATGCTTTATTATCAGCATTAGTAAGAACAACTTTAGGGCTGCCAGGTTGTAAACATTTTTCCAGTAGGACACTTGTTGTCCAGTGCCACATCAACCATACAGAAGGTTGAACTATTTCTTTAACTTCGGCTCATAAACTCGGCTGACGTCTGTGTTTTTATTGTTTGTTGCGTAACCTTTGTTTGAATGAAGAGGTCCCTTCAAGCATTAGCTGGTTCCTTTTTGGTTTTACTTACTACTACTTACTTAACACTATTTCTGCCCTCCTGTCACCTCACAGGTCTAGATGGCCGGAAGATGTCCCATCGTACATCCCAGAGTTCTACGATGGCTGGCAGCCGCCTCCACCCTCACACAGGCCTTCCCCGATCCCTTATCAGAACGGTCCAATGAGCAGGAGCAACAGCCAGCGCATCCCACCTGGCCAACACCATCCCGAAGAGGTAGACCCATACTGACACAATTACCCACCTTTATCTCTGGTTTCACATTATGTTTGGGACTGTGGTAACGGTGCTCTAGCAGATATATTAGGCACCTGGCACGACTACACATCCAGCCATCGCTAAATGAGTTTTCCCATATGATACATTACAGTGCTGGTGATTAAGTCCTGTTGTTTTCAGAAGCTCAGTAACTGTTATTCATTAGCTGAGTGTTAAATAAGGTATCCAGACACTCTGCTTGAGAAGTTGGCAGTGGCTTAAGTTACATAATCAACTCCACTGAAATGGACTACCTATTTTTTTAATGGCTATCACAAGTGGAATTATTGCAACCATCTGGCAGTCACCATCTTTGATATGTAAGTTTTCAAAGCGCCAGTGAAGCCATTATCACAAGTCTGTAGTCTCATGTTGCATTTTATGCCTTTTTACAGCCTATGACCAACGGTCCATGGAGTTCACCACCACCAATATAGTAAGCATTGTTACACTGCAGTAAATGTGGCTTTATGATCACATTTGTTGTGAAAACTGGTCATGTGAATCACAATGTGTGTGTCTGCTGCTGTTTCAGCCCCAGTGAACCTCCCCTGTACATGAGGGTCATTTACGATTTCATGGCCAGGAACAGCCAGGAGCTGAGCATTATGAAGGGTGACGTGGTTCAGGTGAGATGACAAAGATGCTACAATAACCGCTGGAGTTGGATTTAAATCTGTGTCATATGATGGTTACCAATTATCCATAAATCCAGTTGACTTTTGTTTAAAATCCTGGTTTGATTGCAAATAAATAGAAAATAGAGACCAAAAACTTTTTTTGTTGTCAATATAATTGTTACTATTAGAACTAATCACTGGCTGTTTACTAATGGTACTTTTTTAGGGTTAATCTTTGTTGTCCATTGTGTTAACAGCTGATGAGAGTTGCATTTCAGTGAAAAATAAAGGCGAACAAAAATCTAGCACTAGAAAGCAGCAAAGTCCAGTAAATACCTGTTTAAGTCTTCACATATTGCACTGATACACTATTCTGTATCTAGCCTCGTTTCTATTTAAATGTATTTGCTGTCAGTAGTAACATTCAGGTGCTTGAGATGTTTGATTCTGTTTTTTTTTTTTTTACACAGGTGGTTCAGAAATCCAAACAATGGTGGCTTGTTCGCAACAACCGCAAGGAGGAAGGCAATGTTCCTCAGAACGTTCTGGAGCAGATGAACATGGACGATCTACCGGTGAGCCCACTGACACACAGCTCACAGCCGGGTAACCACTTCACAGATTACAGATTTAATTCCCTTTGCTCTCCCTCACCACAGGACACTCGTGGTCCAGTGACCTTGGACATGACCTCCACATCTGCAGAGGTCAAAGCCTGGCTGGAGTACAAAGGTTTCTCCAGAATGTGAGTGCAATAATCCACAGAGGGACTGGGAACTATAAGATGTTTGAACTGCATGATGAAGTCCGATATTGTGTGTTTTGTACCTTTTTATGTGCAGCACTGTGAACAGCCTCGGGGTGCTGACTGGTCAGCTGCTTCTGGGGATGTCCAAGAATGAGATAAGGACTGTGTGTCCAGAAGAAGGAGGGAAGGTCTTCTTCCAGCTTCAGGCCATTAAGTCAGCCATTGCAGTAAGTAACATGTCATGTGATATGCACACACACACCTCTAACTGCAGCACATCAGTAATGTTTTATCCTGTCTCCTACAGCTCGCCAGTGAACCATCAAGCATGTACAACAGCCGTTACTAACGACCTGCTTCACTGCTCCTTCACTTCCTTTTCTCCTGACTGCATTCACAGATCGAAATCTGGAATCATTAGCGTCCAATTAAATCTTTAATCTCATAAATTATCTTATGTGGGTGGCTGCTTTCAGCATTTCTATTATTTAAGACCAAGAACTTTTAGTGAATGAAATGTCTGTTAGATAATTTATCACCAGCAGCAATAGTTGGAAGTTACTCAACAAATTTCCCTGAAAGGACAAGAAAGAATCTATTTACTCCATCTAATCTTTACTAGTTTATTTCACTTATATACTTCTAGTTATTTTAAGTAAATTGTGTATAGTCTTCCCAAATGTGATTAAACCAAAAAATATGTAACTACACTACAGTTGGATTGATTTAAAAACTGCAGTTAACCATTATTAGATGCACTGTATAAACCTGTTTATTTTGCTTCATTAACTTATACCACGTATTCCATTTTCTTTTAATTGATTCTTAAATGTTGTGTATTGTACAGAAAGTGATGCTGAAATTGAGTCATAAACTGGAAGAAACAAAGTCAGTAAAAGATTTACTTTAATCTGTCAAATCAAATCTCTTTCAGTTGTAATAAAGACATTAAGTGCTTTAATTCAAATTAAAGTTTCTACTCATCTTTATAATATCAGTAGACTTGGATTTTTCTTTTTGCACAATTCAACTAAAGTGGTTTTAACCTGACTAAATGTTGTGATACATGTGATTCAAGGACCTTAAACTAGTTAACAGGATATAAAAAGACAAAGTACAGGACAACCTTTCTCTAGTCCTGAATTTACATTATTGAGTTGCACTTGGGAACTTGGTTCTTTCCATTGTTTCTGTAAGGTGTAAATGCATCATCTTTTACTCTTTCTTGTTTCCCCACTTGGCCATCTTGTTGTTGACAGGAGTCTTCATGAATTTGTCAGACTTCATGTAGGCAGCAATCTTCTCCAGAGCCTATGATGAGAAGTAATTGTACCAAACCATTGTAGGTTGCATTATACTATTAACAGGGCAAGAGCAGCAGCAGAAGCAACTCCAGTTAAACTCTATTCACCTGTGGACATCACACGTAGACACACAGGAAGACAAAAAGAGGTGCAGGACTTTCTATTTGACTAACTGTCAGTGTGGGACGTGCCATCTCATTCTTAAATAAAGATATTAAAGGAATATCTTATCTTATTCTCACCTCAAACCGGTCTAAAAGATCTTTGAGATTCTTGAAGTCATCCAGGCATGTAGGATGAAACATCCTGTGTTGATCCAACAGCTCGTACATAATGAAGTCTACAAAAGTGATCTGTTGGAAAGAGAAAAGGTACATTACTACACATGTTCAAAGCAAAATAAACTAGACTTTAAAGCTGCATCAATAGTTAATTCAGTAAAATGAGTTGCATGCATCTGTAATACAAGAACGTGTGTGACCAGGCAGGCTGCCATTGTTTGCCGCTATGGACAAGAAAAAAAAATAAAAAATAAATAAAAAAGGTGCAGCCAGAGATTGCAGCCCAACTTGTGTACGTCACCACTGCTGGTAGCAAAAACCTACATGGCGACGGCCATAAAGCCAAACTCGAGGCTTCAAAATGGTACACCACTAGTGTTCACATTTTTAATAACTTTAAACAACAAAATAGTCAAGAAAGGAAAAGAAAAACATATTTTCGTCATTAAATAGGAAAATAAAACTGTACACCTTCTAAATTCAAGTTTCTCTCATATATTTAATTCTATTGTATTTTGTAAAACGACGAGTTATCTCAGGACACTTTTCAAGTAGAGCAGGTGCAGACTGTACTCCTTATACCAAAGACCTTGTTAAGGAATCTTAAAACACCTTTCATTCAAACTCGACAGAAACAAAATAAAACTCACCAAACCAACTTTATTAGTCTTTGCACTGTTCCAACAATCACCAACTCTGGTGTCTAACTGTCTCACTGTGTTAGATGTGAAAATATTCTGTCTCTACGCGCTGTCGCTGCTCTCTCTGATGCCCCCGGCCTCCCTCGCTTCTCTACCGCTTCATGCCTCTCCTGTCACAGCCCGTCCCTGCTGTGTCCTCATCTTTCCAGAGAGTTTTGTTTGGAGCCTCTGTAAATGACCTTGTTACTGTATTCCCTGTTGTCAGACAAGTTGAAATAAACTTTTCATTCATTGCAGTTAGATGTGAAAAACAGCTGGTTCTACAGCTGTTTTTCACATCTAACTCTCACTCTTTTTTGGCTCAGTATGTGTACTCCGTGCAGCAGCTCTCATTCCTTGGAGGCAGACCGTAAAATTTGCAAAATAAAAACAACAAAGATCAGCCAAATAAAACTGGAGACGGACTCAGCCGATCGCCAATATATTTGTCCAATTGGCCAACCCTATACAACACAGTCCAATGGGTGACGTCACGGTAGGTTCACACTTGGTCTCATCTCATCAGTTTGAATCAACAGAGTTCCCAGGAACAGCAGGCAGCTGTTTTCAGCCAAAAAGGCTCATATAAATCTACTGTACACTACACTGCACTGCACTGTGGCAGACACACAAAATGAGTCACTAAACAGTGAACACGGGAATATCTAGCAACTCAAGACCAAGTTATATTTCTCAAGCTCCAAATGTGAAGGCTAAACAGGCAATTGTCTATGTTCACCATAAGGTATCAACTCCATAATGTGTGAAATCTATGTGGTTTTCAGCTTGATGCGTGTGATGCAGCTTTAAAAATGTTTTAATTTTAAAAAAGCCTCCCATGTTGAAGGGATAACACACCTTGTCACCAGCAAACCACTTCCTGTCTCCCAAGAAATTTGAGAACTGCTTCAGTGTGCCTGGCAGCGCCTCAAGGTACCCCGGCTTCATCTTGTCCTGATATCAGACGGGTGATGATGGCGTTAGTGGAGATGAAAAGGTGTAAAACGACACGTTCACTGTCAAACTTTTAATGTAGTACTTACAAAGTCAGTGTAGCACAGCCTCACAAAGCCATTTCTGAAGTCCATCGCCTGGTTCTCCATGATGTCCACACGGACCTTCTCATCCTCCGTCTCTCCGCCTGTGATCAGATCAGATTTACTGGGACACTCAAAGCATGCACACTGAGATACTACACCTAAAACCTGGAATATATGAATATAACTACATGAAAATGAACTGTATTTGAAACTTTTTTAAGATTTTATTTTGAAAGGTTTAAATGAAGGAAAAAGGAGATGAAAAACCCTTTTGAACAAAATATTAATATGTGGAATAAACACACAATACTTACACAAATTGTGCTTACGAGCAATGTATCTCATGATCGCATTGCTCTGCACTATCTTCCTGTCTCCATCCTCCAGGTAGGGCAGCTACGGTGAGATGTTAATCACAATCAACAATAACTAATACTCTTATTAGTTAATGTTCGCCTGCTTTACACTTAATATTCACAAGTTAAACTCACTTACATTGGGAAAGTCCATTCCAAGTTTGGGTTTTTCATCAAACCAGCAGCTCTTGTCATAGTTTGGAGCTAATGTGAGAAAAATGTGAGTCAGACGATTAAGTGGGTATTTTGTACAGACACTTGTGGTTTAAATTGTAACAGGTGTTTGTTGTTAGTTGAACAGGTAAGTTACCTTCCCCACAGACGTAAAACTTGTCCTCATACTTGCTGCCGGTGTACTCAAGCAGCAGGCGGGCAGGCTGGGCGAGCTGCAGAAGTGTCCGAAAAATGAGACGTGAGAGGCTGATATTTCAGATTTGTTTATGACGTTTACACATGAATGTCTGCAGATGGCATGCATTCACAATTTTGTTGCAATTTCACATAATTCGTGTCATTATTATTGGATGTATCGTAAAAAAAAAACAACTAACATATGAACAGATCAATTTTAATTTAATTTTACGGCAGCAATTTGGACATGAAACAGTAGGGTAAACCCAGGTGTTACCCCAATGATACTAATTAAGGTTCAGAGCCATTCAGCTCAAACAGAGTGAGGGTTACTGCTATTGTACATGTAGACTCACTGGAAAGGCTCTGCTACACTAAAGGGAACTGAACCTTAATCACTGGTCACACCTGTTTCTACCATTTCATGTCAGTGATTCATCAAGTTAAAGCACAAAACACTGAACAAAGCTTCTCAAATGTCAAGTTTGCCTGGTTTAATCCGATTTTAACCGTGGGACTTTATGTCGGTCAAATAAAACGTGCTCTTTTAAGTGCTGGTGAGGGGAGTTCACATTATCACATTATTTTGACATTTTTAACAGCAGCTGATTCGTCAAGTATAGTCTATCCTGAAATATTTTTAAATCAATTCAAGTTTCACTATATAGCACGTTGACTAAAATGCTGTACGGCACATCGATAGCAAATAGAAGACACTGAAATAGTAATAAAAAGGCACATTACACCAATAAAATGGCAATGAAATAAAATATATAAGGCAATAGCAAATATGTGCAAGAAGGTAAAACAGTTCAGAATAAAACAATATAAAAATAAAAGATGATAAAACACTAAAACCCACCAAGAGCAACCTAAAGTAACAAGTCTGTTATTATTATTATAGTATATTGTTAGGTGCAGGCTGCCTTACCTGCAGGCTTATAGTTAAACTTTAATCGATTTGGCCTTGTACCCCTTTATTGAAGTATCGTTTGAACAACAACATGGCAAGTAATAACTAACTTACACCGTCAGAAGTAGGCTCTTTAGAAAACGGAGCACACACCGTAAACAACATTAAACCTTGTACACAAGTGCCTGCAGGGTGAAGCCTGTCAGCCGCCGGTGCTCTGACTCTCTACCGACTTCCTGCTAACTTAACTTACAATTGTTAATGTTAATGTTATGTTAATTAAGTTAATTAATGTCTACGCCAACTCAGAGCTCCTGTTTTTAAAGTAAATGTCCCACCTAACTAACTTTAGAGCCATGTAATTGCACTGGTAACGCTGCGCATACAGACAGCAGCTCACACTGTGATAATTAACGCGTCTCGCTGAATAAATAACTAAGCTAACCTCTAAGCTAACGTTAGCTGCAGAAAACACTAACGTTCGATTCGAACGTGGTGCTCGTTGCTAACGTTACTGATAACGGTTGGAGCACGTGCACCGTGGGTATTAACCGTTAAATAACGTTTTACCGAGAGAGGCTCTGTCAACACGTAATTAACTACTAACGTTATATGATTATAAAACACAAAAACGTTGCGCAGTTAACTATTAAATGTCAGTAACTTGGTAGATACAAAGAGTTTGACAGCCTGTGTTAACTCGAGCTCCGGTGGAGGTAAACGGCAGCCGTTAACCCGCCGGCTGTTACTTTACAAACAAAGAAGGCGGCTGAACTCACCCCGCGAATATCCCAGTAAGCCAGTTTCATTGTCATTTTGAATCACTTTCGGGTACCAAAATGTGGATGACTGTGACCGAGACTTGAGCAGCGGCAGTCTGTGAAACGCTTGCCGGAGAGGGAGAGAGGTGAGGTGGGCAGGCAGACGGAGCTGGTGGGCGGGGTGAACCGGGCGGTCACACACTCTCTGAACCGGTTCTTTTGTTTGGACTTATGTAACATTCATGTGCTATGTGAACATGAATACACTGATCTGCTGGAAAGCTATTATTCATATGCACCTGATATGAGAAATGTGGGTAACTGACACCATATATTGTGTATGGAAATCCTGTTTTTATCCAAACAGATATGGAGTCGTTCAAGTATAGACTTTTCCATGACACAAAGAAACCACGATGAAAGCCACAGTATAACTGCACCACCAGAAGTAATGCAGGGATTATCTTTAAATCACCTTTCACATAAAGCTGGGGAGTCACTGGCATATAAAAGAGGAGGGTTTATGACAATATTTGCACTAAAACTAACTCAAGGTCCAATGGTGGAGTATTATAGGCTGTAGCTTACA